GCTTCTTTTTTTTTTTTTTATTTGATTCCCCCTGGAGGCTGAAGGAAGGGAAAGCAGCACGTAGCCCATCTGAACCTTGAAGGAGACATATTATACCCTATTTCAACAAGTTAACCTAGTTAACTTAGTTATTATACCCTATTTCAACCAGTTAACCAAGTTAAGACAGATGTAAATGAGCAACTATGCTATATTCTGGCTCATTTACAATCTGTACAGAAGTGTAAGGTTGTTTATTAATGTGCACTGTCCTGATTAAATAAATAGATAAATAAAATAAATAGCTCCCTGGTGTGCTAATGTAATGTCTGTGACGAGCTTTGGTCAAAATCCCATAAGGGTGAAGCCCAATAGCAGTTCAGTCCCCCTGCCTAACCCTAACCCTAACCCTAACCCTAACCCTAACCCTAACCCAAAACAGCCCCGTTCAGAGCGCTCGCTTTGGAGTGCCTGTCTCTTTAAATGCAAATGAGACACAGGCAATCCGCCCACTTCTTCAGGGAGGTGTGCCCACGTCGGCACGCTAACGCTACCACGCTAACGCTACCACGCTAACGCTACCACGCTAACGCTACCACGCTAACGCTACCATGCTAACGCTACCATGCTAACGCTACCACGCTAACGCTACCATGCTAACGCTCACGTTACCATGTTAATGCTCACGTTACCATGCTAACGCTCACGCTACCATGCTAACGCTCAGGCTTACACTACCATGTTAATGCTAACACTCAGGATCACGCTACCATGCTAACGCTAACGCTACCATGCTAACGCTCAGGCTCAAGCTACCATGCTAACGCTCAGGCTCACGCTACAATGTTAACGTTAACGCTAACATGCTAACGCTCACCCACTCCTGAAACCTCCTGATTTATCTCCTGGATTCAGACTGAGGCGGCCCACAAAAACATGACCCAGTCATTTTTTTTCACACTTTTCCTGCTGATAGGCCCTCCACAGTCCCAAATGTACACAATCACATGATTAAAAACTTGGTTTTGCGTAATATGTCCCCTTTAAGGAGGCTTTGCTCCGACCGGGACTCACAGTTTCCACTGGTAGATGGTGACCGGGGGGTTAGCATCAGCTCTGCAGTTCAGCTGGACGTTCTGACGGTTCAGGTACCAGTTTCCATCAAAGCCCTCGATCTTCACGTCCGGTTCATCTGTAACAAACAAACACACCTTGTTTTTAGTTAATTTCCCCCATAACCCGGCTAGAAATCTACATTTTGTCATTAGACATAAACACAATTAAACACACAATTCGCTCAGTTGGTTTGTCACAAAACCCAAACAGTCAGAGCTTTTATTTAAGGAGGATTAAAGGAGTAAGACTAACCCCAAAAGTCTTAATTTTTGTTGGTGTTGAATATAATCTTTTTGTTCATTTCCAGAAATCTACATTTTGTCATTAGACTTAAACACATATTCAAAACTAACAGAGTTTGCTCAGTTGGTCAGAGCTTTAATTTAAGGAGGATTAAAGGAGTAAGACAAACCCCAAAAGTCTTATTTTTGTCGGTCTTAAATATCAACACCAACAAAAAAGCTACGTCTAGGGTGGAAACTACCACGTCTAAAGAACTCCGAAATGGTTCTCCTTTCATTTTTCATCCCCCCCATTACACTGCACAACTCGGCCAGAAATCTACATTTTGTCATAAAGCAAGATTTCTTTGGTTGACCAAAATCACAACAAACATTGAAAACATATCGATGAGTTTGTAACAGACTTTTCAAGTTTACATGTTCCCGATCTCTACATGTTTTGGCAACCTAAATTATGTCATGACAAAAAAAGCTACGTCTAAGGTGGAAACTACCACGTCTAAAGAGCTCCTTAATGGTTCTCCTAACCCTATAACAGACCAAAAACCCTCTTACACTGCACGTTGAGCACCACGCTGTCTGTGATTTTCTCGTTCCGGTACGTGACTACGCAGGTCAGCTTCTGTTTGTGGGTTTCCCGGCTGGGTATCAGCACGTAGTTGCTCCGAATGGTGGAGGTCCCGTTGGCGTTCTGGGTGGTCTGCTGGGTGGGGTTCCCCTTCAGCCTGGTTTCCCATTTGATGACGCTCTGGGGCTTCCCGTTGGCGGCCACACAGGTGGCCACGGTCATCGGCCGCTTTTGGGCCCGCGCCACGATGGTGGGGCTGGTCAGACTCATCCTGGTCATGGGCCGGGCTGTTTGGTTTTACCAAAAGAAAGAGAGAGAGAAAAACAGGATGAATCACAAGGCTGTAGGGTCGTCAAAAGTATTGATACATGTTGTATCCGGATACGATACTGATTTTCAAAAGTATCGATACCAACAATTTATTTATGTATTTATTTACGTTGTTTATGGTCATTACCAAGACGTTAGCCTTGGACTGCTAGCTGCGGCTAATGGCTAATAACAATGCGACAACATTAATCACGTACATATCCAACTCCGCCCACATCCAAGTCGGCCATTTTGATTACGTCACCAACAGGAAGATCCCAGGCAAGAAAATCCTAATTGCTTCATGGCGTCAAACACTGAATTACACTCTATCCATAATATTATGTTAAAATAGTGGATGTTAAATAGGTTTGTACAATAAGTCCAAACAACTTTAACCAGGAAATATTTATTTCTCACAATTATGAAGTGTGGAGGGTTAGGGTTAGGTTTAGTGTCAGGGTCAGGGTTAGAGGCGTTAGAGGGTTAGACTCATCCTGGTCATGGGCTGGGCTGTTTGGTTTTACCAAAAGAAAGAGAGAAAGAAAAAACGGGATGAATCACAAGGCCGTAGGGTGGTCAAAAAGATTGATACTTAAATAAGTATCGATACTAAAATGTTGTATCCGGATACGATACTCATTTTCGAAAGCATCGATACCACCGATTTAATTATGTATTTATTTACGTTGTTTATGATCATTACCAAGACGTTAGCCTTGAACTGCTAGCTGCGGCTAATGGCTAATAACAACATGCTACCATTAATCAAGTACATATCCAACTCCGCCAAGTTTAACCAAAAAATATTTATTTCTCACAATTACGAAGGGTGGAGGGTTAGGGTCAGGGTTAGGGTTAGAGGCGTTAGAGGGTTAGACTCGTCCTCGTCATGGGCCGAGCGGTTTGGTTTTACCAAAAAAAAAATAGAAAGAAAAAACAGGATGAATCACAAGGCCGTAGGGTTGTCAAAAGTATCGATACTAAAATGTTGTATCCGGATACGATACTCATTTTCAAAAGTATAGATACCAACGATTTATTTATGTATTTATTTACGTTGTTTATGATCATTAACAAGACGTTAGCCTTGCTAGCTGCGGCTAATGGCTAATAATAACACGCCAACATTAATCAAGTACATATCCAACTCCGCCCACATCCAAATCGTCCATTTTGATTATATCACCAATAGGAAGATCCCAGGCAAGAAAATAGTAATGCCTCATGGCAATATAGATATTAATTTAAAAATTGTGAAATGAATCTTGCAAATACTGAATTAAACTCTATCCATGATATTATGTTAAAATAGTGGATGTTAAATAGGTTTGTACAATAAGTTCAAACAAGTTTAACCAAAAAATGTTTATTTCTCACAATTATGAAGGCTGGAGGGTTTAGGTTTAGGGTCAGGGTTAGGGTCAGGGTTAGGGTTAGGGTTAGGGTCAGGGTTAGGGTCAGGGTTAGGGTTAGGGTTAGGGTCAGGGTTAGGGTTAGGGTTAGGGTCAGGGTCAGGGTTAGGGTTAGGGTCTTTAATGTGGTCCACCATAACATCAGTAACAGGTCAGTTTGAAACCAAAGACACTAACCTGTCAAAATTCATCCATTTTCTTAAATTTGCGGGTCTTTGTTTTTATCTTTCTGTTATCAAAAATGGTATCGAGTATCGAGTATTTTCCTGAGTATCATGACAACCCTACAAGGCCGCAATGCAAAGCCTCACAGAGGAAGAGGAGTGTCTGATTTATTGACTATCAAGAAGCTAAAGTAAATTAAACTAAGGGGCTGAAATGAACACAGTGTGCACTCAAATCAGACGAGTTCTGCCTCTTCTCTTCCTCAAAGCTAACGCACTTGCCTCACCAAATGCAGAGTCATCCAATCTGATTCCTTTGTGAGATGCCAATTAGCAATCTACTTCTGGTACATCAAAAGGCAGCCTTCAGCTCCACGAATGCACGACCGAAAAAAAAAAAAGAGCTCTGAAGAGAGTCTCTTTGAACAGACGTTCGGTTATCTGCACTCAGGTTCCTGACATTCAGGCTCCGTGGCACAAAATGGGGACTCAAACCAAACTAAAAAAGCTCAAGCAATGAGGATTTCTCAAGCCAAGTGCTTCTTTTTTTTTACTGCAAAACACGCCAGCACTTAATTACTAATTAGCTCTCTAATCAGAGTCGGCACACAACCTTTTCAAAGCTGTCTATTTCCAAGATAAACTACATCTCAAGGAGGGCTTTTTTAAACGGCAAGATGAGCCGAGTTACACACTTAGAACTGACCTTGTTGATTTCTGTCTTTTTTTCCTGTTTTGTTTTCTGGTTCTGGCATTAATAGGCCAATCACCACATCACATCAGGGGTCACTCAAAGGCCTTAAAGCATACAACTTTTGGTCAGAACACTAACATCCACTAACATCTGGAACAGTCTTCCAGCTTTAGAGCTCAACTCAAACTATGGATGAGAACAAACCAGTCATGTGACCACTTAACTCTTAACATTTCCTTGTGATGCTTATATTGTATATTATATGTTCTTTCGTATGTATTTGCCTGCCTAGGGACTAAGGATGAAAACTAGCTTTGTAGCTATAATCCGGCATATTTACATTTGTTTTTACACTGATGTTCATTAATGTGCTTTGTCCCTATTCAAATAAATAAATAAATAAATAAATAGATAGATAGATAGATAGATAGATAGATAGATAGATAGATAGATAGATAGATAGATAGATAGATAGATGAATAAATAAATAAATAAATAAATAAATAGATAGATAGATAAATAAATAAATAAATAAACAAACAAATAAATACCCCAGATGTTGAGATTCTGGTTTTATGTGGAGAACAAACTGAAAAACAGCCGGTTCGAGTTCCTCTTAAGAAAATCAGCTTTCAGGACAGAGTCTGTGTCAAAGCGGTACTAAAAAAAAACAGGTTTGATCTGCCCTTTCTTTAACTGATGAACGCACAGTTTCTGTTGAAATTAAAAGAAAAGCTATTACAGTTGGGGTGACTCATCCCGTGACTGAGGAAATAACTTCCTAACTGATGGTTAGATATGTATTGTGTCTCATTTCTTGGCTCTGACTGTAACACAGCAACAGGTACACAATCTGTTCTCTGGAATCCATCATTGTTTAACAACATGCAGAAGCTTGTAAGTGTAGTTATCTCAGTCCATCAAAAGGGATTTTTTTTTTATTGCCTCATGCTAGGTTTTAAAGACTCATTTAAAAAAAAATAACTCAAGTGATAAAGCAGCGCACACTAATCATTTCTTGACTTCTTTTCTCTTTTTTCTATTTGACTGAATAAGCAGAATAGCTCTGAAAAGCATGGCAAATATGGGTAAAAGTAGCATTAATGCGTGTTATGAGCTCATTTCCTGGTTTTCCAATGTTTGCGGGGGCAGAAATGCACATTGTTTTCTGTACTGGAGGCGTTTACTAATTTGCCTCCATTTGGTTTAAAGTTTATTTCTTGGATATACATTTTTTACTTATCCGGGAACAGTGTCAAGCTTTGATTTGAAATGTAATACTTGAACCCAAAAGAATTAATTCAGCACAAGTCTTGTATGTTCAGCTACTGTTTCCATGGAAATGAGCCTCAGATTGAAGCCCTGGGAGCGAGAAACCAGAACACACCAAAGCAGACAATACCATCAAACGAATAGATGAATAAATAAATAACAGCAGCCATTATTCCTAAGATTTGGATCTGGGTGGGACAACTTTGTCTCTTTCTCTGTGTTATGGGAGATTTAGACACTAGGCTGGTCCCGATCCGATATCTGGATCCGGTTGGCCGCCGATATTTACAAAAAAACGCACCGATCCAGAGTCCAGACCCATTAGCATTAGCATTAGCATTAGCATCTGTAACCCACAGGTCTGTGTCCTAACCATTAAGTTGTTGTCAGGGTAAATCCCTGTTCAACATGAGTCTGAAAACTAAGTGAGTAGATAAATAACTTTACTACTAAAGTACTACTACTACTATTAAACTTTACTAAACTTTAGTACATGCTCTGATAGGCCGGGATCGGATCTGAAGTGCAAAAAACTGGATAGGGAAGTTCCTTTCCGACACTTTCCAATCCCTGTTCAACACGAGTCTGACAACTAAGTAAGTAGATAAATAACTTTACTACTAAACTACTACTACTACTACCTGACCTTTCAGCTTTACCAAACACGGAGAGGTTGACCATGTTCTCCCGGTTGCCGGCGGGCAACTGTGTCTTTCTCTGTGTTATGGAAGATTTCGACTCGATTTCGGCTGATCCCGATCCAACATTTGGATCTGATCGGCCGCCGATATTTGCAAAAAAATGCACCGATCCAGAGTCCAGATCCAGTCAGAGCCATTAGCATTAGCATTAGCATGAGAATTAGCATTAACATTATCATCTCCTAACCCACAGGTATGTGTCCTAACCATTAAGTTGTTATCAGAGTAAATCCCTGTTCAACATGAGTCTGACAACTAGGGAATTGGATAAACAACTTAACTACTAAACTAACTTTCAGCCCTTACCAAACGAGGAGAGGTTGACCATGTTCTCCCGGTTAAAGTCAGACCCATTAGCATTAGCATTAGCATCTGTAACCCACAGGTCTGTGTCCCAACCATTAAGTTGTTATCAGAGTATTAGCATTAGCATTAGCATCTGTAACCCACAGGTCTGTATCCTAACCATTAAGTTGTTATCAGAGTAAATCCCTGTTCAACATGAGTCTGACAACTAGGGAATTGAATAAACAACTTAACTACTAAACTAACTTTCAGCCCCTTACCAAACACGGAGAAGTTTACCATGTTCTCCCGGTTAAAGTCAGAACCATAAGCATTAGCATTAGCATCTCCTAACCCACAGGTCTGTGTCCTAACCATTAAGTTGTTATCAGAGTAAATCCCTGTTCAACAGGAGTCTGACAACTAGGGAATTGGATAAACAACTTAACTACTAAACTA